CCCCCCCCCCACTTCTAAAATACAGGTTGAAGGGGGAGTTATAAATTGATTATATGATTGAGACACTGTACGTTTAAAATCCAACAGTTGTCACATGTTCAAATACTCAAAAGTATTTATCAAGCAATATTATAAGTTATTTAGTTGTTGTAAAATAGGAGTCTCGGCAGCCATGTCTCTCGGCAACCATATTTTAAAGCAAAACAAATGCCTTGGGGAATGGCAAAATATTTTTGTATGACTGCCTGCCCAACAAACTAGACATGGCTGCTATATGAAACCCCTCTATAAAGTTGTTATCAATTAATTTGAACATCTTACCTGTACCTTGTTACTTGTTCATCGCATACTCGATTTCTTCTCTTCTTTGATCCCATCCATGATCGGTCACAACCTTGTACACTTCCATCACAAGATGACAGAAATATTCCAGAAACACGAAGTCTTCAAGTAACATTTTTCTGATCGTTGTTGGCCGTGTGGATTCAGAGACGTGTGCATAAGCATTTCGTATGAACCGCACTAGCTCTATTACAGAGTGAGTATCATAGGACTTTCTCTTGGTGGATGTCATTTCAGTGTAAATAGTAGGCATGTTCATATACCTCGAGTCATCCCACTTCCCATGCACCACTATGGAACTAAAGTTCTTCTCCAAGTCAATCTCCACAGCAGTCAGAGTTGATCTTTTTGCACGTGGGCATTCAAACTCTGACTGGTTTCCAACAGCAACAAGAACATCAACTTTTTTCTGATTTGACCAGAACAATGGATGATCCAGACTTTTTTCTGCAGTTGGGCGTTTGTCTTTATCACATTCGAGCATTTTTTCTATAAGGTGAGTAGCTTCTACCAGAATGGATTTATCCCATCCTTCCATGCTTCCTTTCATGATGTTGGCTTCTGTTTCATGAGCAATTTGATATTCTCCTTTACTGGCACAATCACATGGAGAAAATGGGTGCTTTCGTTTTGACAGAATGTAATGAAGAACAAGTCCGCATGAAAACATGTCAGATGCCTTGGAATGATCTCCACCATGTACATGAGTACCCATCAACAATTCTGGAGCCATCCAACATCTCGTTCCTGCATTAGCACTGTACACTGTGGTGGTGCTACTATCATCACGACAGCTCAGTCCAAAGTCAGCAATTTTCAAACGAAGATCAGGATGTATTTTGTAGAGAATATTCCCAGGCTTCAGGTCGCGATGAATGATATTCTCCGCATGCAGAAACTTCAACCCCTTGACTACATCTTGACAAAGCTGAGTACTTTTACTCGAATCAAATGTGGATTTATCAATAAGGTACTCGTCAAGATTTCCTTCCATCAGCTCTAAAACTATGCACGAAAAGGTCTCATCTTCAAAGAAATTCAAATAACGTACAGTTTGTTCGCAGTCTGCAAGGACAGTGAGATTTTTAATCTCTCGTTTGTCTTCTGGTCGCTGCATACGTGTCTTCAAAATGCACTTGATGGCCACTTCTCTACCATCCTTCTGATTGATTCCAACAAAGACATTGCCATATGAGCCACTTCCTACGTGTTCTTTATGACACCAAAAGTCTTCATGGATCACATCGCACTCTTGTCGTCTAGTGACTTTGGCCAGTTTGGCTTTATATTTCTTTGAAATAGAAGTCCATGGAATGAGTACAGACACTTCACTAGAATCTAAGGCATTAGTGAGGAGTTCTTTAAGAGCATCAGAAGTATCTACCATATCCAAGCACGAATTGCCATCAGCTCCATACAAACGAAGAATCTTAATGATTTCACAATGCACAGATGAGTTTTCAAACTCTGCTTCTATTGAATTGTCCAATGTGTTCATTCTTCCTTTGCTTGATTGATGTTGTCTTTCAGCAAAGGTGACATGATCTTTACTGGCTGACATTTCTTTAGCTGCAGAGGCAGACTTCTTTTCTATCTTGTTATCCAATACGCCAGTTTCAATTATGTTCCTACAGCAAAGGCGAAGTGGTTCAGAAGCAGTGGTGGGAACTCTTCTTGCCTTCAAAATATCTTTGACAAGAATGCTTTTCCAATTTGTCCGTGTGGATTTGTCTTTGCAGATGGCATTCAAAAGACCAACAGCAAATGTCTCGGACCGAGTGTAACCCTGCTCGCAGGCAACATCAACCAGAGCTTTGGCAAAAACAAAATAATTCCTTTCAATGCAAATACTTAAAACTGACTTACCATCTTTGTCAGCTGTCCATGGATCAAGTCCTTTGTCAATGGCAGTTTTCCAAAATGCTTTTGGATCTAAATCTGAAACATCTGGGTAAGGACCAGGCTTATTACCATAAGATGATAATGCTGCAGCTACAAGAGGGGATGCTTCTGATGAATCAACATCATTAGCCTTTGCTCCAGCATCAAGCAACAGCTTCAAAGCTATCCATGTTCTGCACCAAAGTAAAGGTGTTCTACCAACCCAATTTCTGGCATCAAGTTTTGCTCCACATCTCAAAAGATAGCTTAAGATTGTTTGTAAGAATTGCTCAAATGTGAGATCTCTGGTAACATTACTGGCATAGTCTTGAGGTGGTGGTAAGTGTAATGAAGCCCAAAGGTGCATCACGGTTGAGTTGTTGGAAACATGAGATATGTTAATAATTCCTGCGTTTGTCACTTTTTCTGGTGAAAAAAATTGTAAAAGTTTTATTGCTTCATGCAAGACATCTTGTCTTACTGTCATATCATTTAAGTCGAGTCCTTCTTGGAAAAGATTTAGTAATAAATGAAAAAAAGTTTCTCCCATTCGAGATCTTCCTTCAATGCTGGATCCATGTTTTGACAAAAATCTACAAATTTCTACCTGGGTTTTTACTTCTGATAACCGTTTTTCCTCCAGTGAAACAGACTCCCCATCATTTCTACGCAAACATTGCAGTAGTGGTGTCTGATACTCATGGTTTCTGAAGTTTAATGGTACACCGAGTTTCTCCAACTGAAGACAAATCTCCATGACAATCTCTTGTGGTACTACACCCTTAAATGCTAACCGCGTCACGCAGTGAAAAGCTGTATTACCATCTTGATCAACACTATTAGGATCCGCACCTAACTCAACCAATGATTGTAAAGCTTGTGATGCCCCTTCTCCATTTTTACAGTTTTCATTTACTAACGTAATCAGCATTTGTATTTCCTTTTGATTGTCAATATACTGACCAGCTAGTTCCAATGCTCTAGTAATCACTGTTCGCATACTCTCTAGACCTCCTGGTCTTTTTAGGAAGATGAGAGGGAGCTTACAGAAAGCTATGTTCAAAATTGCTTCGGCGAATGTTTTTTTCTGTACCTCACATTCTTCAAGTAAATCAAAAAAGCCAGGAAGAATGTTTGTATTACCATAGAATACATTTCTATCGACAAAAAAGTTCAGAATGCTGCAATTAGAATTATCTTTCAAATGAAAAAGATATTTTTTTCCCTTGTCAACAAGAATACGAGCTGACTTTGGATAGTTTAAAGCGTAAAACAATGGTGTTCGCCCAAAAACATCTCGAAAATGTACAAATGCACCACCAGCATCAATCAATTCACGAACCACACTCTCGTTGTTACTTTGTCGGAAAGCATAAAACAAAGCCGTGTGGTCATAGCCATAATTATCAGAGATGTTGACATCAGCACCAGCATCAATCAATACACGGACCACAATTTCATTGTTACTTTGTTGCACAGCATAAAACAAAGCAGTTTGGCCATCACCATCAGTTTTGTTGACGTCAGCACCAGCATCAATCAACGCACAAACCACACTCTCATTGTTACTTTGTTGTACAGCAACAAACAAAGGAGTTTGGCCACATTCAGTTGTTATGTTGACATCAGCTCCAGCATCAATCAAGGCACAAACCACACTTTCATTGTTACT